CGGCCCGTGCCTCAGTGTCCCTGCGCGCCTCGCAGGGTTGGTTTTGTTGTTGCTGTTTAATCCCCTCCATTACATGGCAGACCCGGCAAGCCCAAAATGTCTCAGGAAACAGCCGTTTCTACCATTTCCAACAGTTAATGGGGCCCCTTCATATTTGGGTGGGGTGGGGGAGGCATTTTCTACTGGAGTGAATCCAGGCACCAAGCAGTCAGCTGCATCCGGCCTCCAAGCTATTTGCCAATACTACCTGGTCCTTGCAGTACAAATCCTTTTGCTCATCCTGAGAAGAACACTGTGGTAAATAATAGCCCCCAGTTACCTTGCCAGGTGCTTGCCAGGATATTTATGGGGATTATGGAGATTGAGGATAGTTAGGGATGCTCTCGCAGGACACTAAGTGTAAAATGTCACAAGAGAAAAATTGTGCTGCACATAAGACCCTATGAGAAGGTTATTTAGGTCAGAAGCAAATGAGATATCTATTAAAAAATAAGTCACAACACAGAACTGTCAAGGTAGATGGAAGCTTAGAACTGACTGGAACTGTGTAAACAACAAACATATTTCGCTTAGTACTAAATAGGTGGCATCTCTTCATGTATAATAAAACCCCTACCTGATTCAAATGCTCACCCTCATCTGTGGATTCTTCCGGAGCACTTAGTACATACAACTACAAGACTCATTCTAATGCTGAATATATTTTTTGTAAACCCTACATTTTGGTAAAACAAGGTAATCCATGTTTTTTCAGCTTCTTGTGCAGAGAGCCCCGTACAATTTTGTTCTTACTTTGGATCACACCTACATACTGTAAAAGGACTTCATTATTTCTATTTGAGCAATAAAAAGACGCGAGTGAAGCTGAAAGAGTAACTATAGCTTCACTTACATCATCATGAAGTATAAAGGACCCATGACTGATGAGACTGGAAAGGATAAGCTTCTCCAGCCTGAACAGACCTTTGTGTGGCAAATAAAATATATAAGGACTGTGGCCAGGAGGCATAAATGAAAATGGGGATGGCACCGAGTAAACAGATCTGTGAAGACAGAAGTGCAAGGTTTTGGAAGATAAGGAAAAGCCAAACTCAGCTGAGGCTGTTTGAAGAATGCCATGTCCTGCTGATGTCCTTTTCACCACAGGAGATGGAGGCAAAAAAAATCCAAACAACCAAAAACCAAAAGAAAGATAACAAAATGAATTGACAAAATGAATTGGACCTATGAAAGAGAAATATAAGTTCAAAATGAAAAAAAACTATCATGTAGAAACTGTCACGTCCAGACATGTGAAAAAGAGAATGGACTGAGGCTCAGGGGAGGATAGAAAAAGCTGATAAAGGAAAACAAAGATACGATGATTAAATTTAAGTGAAGAAGGCAAGGGCTGAAATTAAAAGAATGAAAAATGCCTGTGGAAATAAAATACATATATTTCTGAAATATCAACAACATTGTCTTTTAGAGAATCTGTATTAAAAGAATGCTGTTTATGAATACATATTACTTCAGGGAACCCAAAAGGTGAGGAGCCTCACAATACGAATTGCTAGAAAACAGCTAGAAAAACTGTTGCAGAAAAGAGAAAAAAGAATGGATACATTAGCAGCAAAACATTAAGCGATCCTGTTTAGAAACATCAGTGGAAAAAAATACTTGAGTTCATTACTGACATATGAAAGGCAGGTAGGCCTGAAAATACTGCAAATTTTGTACTAAGCAAATCCAGAAGCAGAGGCAGAGCAATTCAGCTGAGAACTGGAGGGTAGTTCAGAGTGAGACAGGACAGTGGTGAACATTGGAGAACTTGCAGTGATCACGATGATGTACACAGAAAGGAATCTGAACTGAATGATCTAGCTGGTGAGGAGTTTTGGTATAAGAAAAAGGAAAGAGAGAAAAAAAAAAGTGATTTGTTTTTGTCATAGAAAACGCATTTGCTTTTTCTTAGCTGAATAAAAAGCAATAGTCTGGTGAGACATTCAGTTGTTGTTTTACACTGTGTTTAGATGATCCTGAGGATGCTGTGTAGGACACTTTTGAGACTGGACAGTGTTGACACTAAGAGTTTTAATAAGATATCTGTAAAATGATGGAAATGAGCATTTACATAGTTGTTACACTGACATATAACAAATGAAAGAAGACGTTTTCATGCATTGTGGGATATTTGTATTTGAATCTGTACATTATTCCTCAGTGTTTTCTTCTGTAAAATATTTTTTACATGTATTCGTTGTCTTGTTCTGCAAGGTCAAAGAGAAAGCAAGTGGTAAAGGGACAACAGTTTGTCAAGCAGGGTTTGGTTAGGAATAGTGCTTCTTTCGTAGTCTATAAGGTTTTGCTGAGGAATAGTGCTTCTTTCGTAGTCTATATTAAAATCAGTGTAAAATCTCATTTTGATTTCTGCTTAAGTAAGTCTGTGACTGCATGCAATAACATTAATGAGATTGGTCAGAGTCAATCCTAGCAAAAGAGACTAATGTTAATTAAGCATTACCTAATCGTGGTCTGATCCAAGAGCTGATTAAGAAAACTGCAAATCAGAGAATGATGTGTGTAGATCAGCTGGCCAGAAGGTGATAGGAGTAGAGATCATGTATACTTTGGAAAGGAGCGATCATTAATCTTTTGTTCGAAGCTCTCTTTTGGATATTTTTGCTTACTACTATGGCTTTTTTTTTTTCAGGGTTTATTTTTGATAGCAAATCGTACTTCAGCCAATGGGCAGGAATTTCCTGACTGGTAAGCTGCAAACATATTTCAGTCTTAGGTTTATATTGTTGGTAGTTAAAATAATGACGTGTACATCATTCATATGTGGTTCTTGTTTCACAGTTTGCCCTTTTTTTTTTGTTTGGTACTGCTCATTTTAGTAATCACAAATTAGTGGTTAAAATCAATGACCCTGCAGAGAAATCATTGTTTTCCCAGCAGCAGTTGACTAGACCACAGCCTCACAGCTGCACCCTGCAAGAGAAGCACTGCTATTCTGCAGAACTGAGAAAAAAAGATAGAAGCAAATATAAGGAATCCATTTATTCCAGTGTAGGCAAACCTGTGACTTTCCGTAACTGCCCATTCCTCATTAGACTTCTGTGTTTCTGGGTAATGCCAGACGCTAGCGGAGAACATCAAATGGCAACAAGCGGAGTGTTTCTGTCAGCAGAATCCCACTAGAAATACCCTCCGTTCAGTGTTCAGTATCTGATTCTAACAGCTTGCTGTACTCTATCAATTAGCCAGATCTTAATCTATTTAATGTGTTTTATTAAGGCTATATAATGCTGATGTTTTAATCAAAACGTCAAGCAGTACTAAATCAAATTCATTAGGAAAGTCCACATATATCTCATCTATGTGGTTACCTTGATGAAACAAACCTGTAATCTCATCAAAAAGTGAAGTCAGGCCTGCTTGTCAAGACTGGTTTCCATAAAGCCATGTGGACTTGCTTTCATTACATTCCTACCCTTTAACTGCTCTTTGATTGAATCACAGATAGCAGGGCTGTTTAAATTCACAAAACGACATTATTTTGTCTAGGATTACTGAGGATGCCAGGTCGATTATTACCTGGTCATTCTGCTTCTTTCATTTAAAGGAACACACAGGTGTTCCTTTGGCTTCCCAAATTTTGTTGCTGCATGGAGAGCTATTGAAAATTTACCTTAGAAGGCTCTAAGTCTCTTAAGCCCACAGTTCAGGATCTTTGGACATCTTCTTTAGGTATCAAT